AATGTAAATTAAAGTAAGAACAAGATAATATTCCTTATCTGCCAGCTTAGAAAAAAAATTTTTTTCTTTTTGGGTGCTGGGAATTGAACTCAGGACCTTGCACTTGCCAAGCAGGTGCTTGTGCTGCTGAGCTATCTCCCTAACCCCCCAAAATTTTTAAAACTGAAAAAATTTTAAAAACTGATGCCTAACGTTGGCAAGTGTTATGGTTTGTGTCTGGATGTCCCCCCAAAGCCTCATGCGGCTATGGGACAGGCTTTTAGAGTTTGATTGATTATGGGTGTGAGGGCTACACCCGCCCTGGGGTGGATATTTTGCATATGTAAGGGAGAGAAAGAGGGTGCTTCTGGCCATTTCCTCCCTTGTGTGTGCTTGTTGTTTTGGCTGTGCTCTGCCGCCATGAGCTATAGCCCTCTGCCATGGGCCACTCTGCCTTGTAACCTGCCAAGTATGGACTGAAACCTCCACAAACTAAGTGAAATAAACTTTTCCTTCCTTAATTTTGGGCATCAGGTATTTTGTCCCAGCAACAAGAGAAAAGTAACCAAGACAGCAAGGCAGAGAGTAGATGAACTAGATGCTCTGGTGTATAGTGTTGGGAACATACATTAATAGAAGTATTTCTAAGAGTAACTGGACAGATTATATTAAACATTACAATCGAATATAGTATCTGAGCCTTAAGTACCTTTCAGTACTTAGGGAGTCATTCTAAACTAAGCATAAATAAATAAACAAACAAACAAACTAGGCAGAGAAGATTTTCTCTGCAGAGTTCTTTATAGTGGCAACATTTTGGAAATACACACTTTCTTTAGAGGATTAAGTGCTTAGCAATAAGAACAATTAAATCACTTATACTGTCAGTATAAAAAAAGAAGAAGCAAACTGACCTGTAAGCAGCATTCTTTCTGTAATGGCTTTTAGGACACTTTTTCTTCCTGGTTTTCATCTTTCCAGATTGACTTTTCCTCAGTCTCCTTTTCTTGTTCATCTTCACATCTCCAGCCTTTTCTTTTTTTAAGACTAGGAAGAATTTATTGAGAGAAAGAAAGCTTCTGTCTGAGAGGGACAGAAGGGGGCCCAGAAAGTGGGTTGTCCACCAGCCCGGCTTCTCAAAGGTGTTCTGTTGAGCAAAGCCATGAGGTGAGGCAGGGATTAAGGTGGGACAGAAATATAACCAATCAATAAGATTACAGGGTTAGTCTCTTAGCTAATATTGATCTAATGGCAAATCATAGGATCGATGTTAGGTGGGACAAAACTATGGTCAGCCAATAAGATCACAACCAGTATAGTAGCTAGGGTAATATTGATTAAATGGGGATCAAATGGGGAAACAAATGCACATGGGTGGGATGGACAAAGACTTTCCTAGAAGGGGTGAGTTAAGGAGGTTTGGTCCTCTACCCCAAGGTGATTGATGCCTACTTAGAATATCAATCACTGCTGTTCATTCCTAGGGGACATGTAGGAGGGAGTACTTCCTCTTTTATTTGAAGCCTAGCCTTCAGTGAACACACCTCCAGCTACAGTTGTCTTCTGCATTGACCTCTTCAGGGCTTAGTCCTGTCTGACTGCCTACAATATTTCTGCCTAACTTAGCTGTCTGTCATACTCCCCTGAAAAAGTACCCCTCACTGCTGTGAGGGAGCAAGGGTCGCAGACGGATCTGGCTACTTCCTGCTGAAGAGGGTCATATTTGTGATTGGCAGTCAGAGATACTCCACAGAGGGTCTGTCTAAAGGTCCTTGATAGAGGCTAGGTGTTCTTGTCTTGGGTAGACGTATAACCTTAAGTCTGGAGGAGACAAGGACACAGAAACAGTATGGATGGGCCAAATAATAAAATCATCAGGATAGTTATAAATATAGCCAACAAGGTTTTCCACCAGGAGGAGCCAGTAATAGCTTTCCATAAAGAGGATAAAAAGGTCAGGGAATTTCAGAATCTGACATGTCATTAACCTGTTGTCTAATATCTTGAACAGCTGTTGAGACATTAGCAGAAGGTCAGGAATGTACACACAACTTTCAGCTTTTATAGTTGCACAAGTATCCTCTAGTGCTGCTGTTAGAATGTCTAATGCTGTCTGGTTTTGAAGGATAGCTTGTCTTACTAATTTTACTTCTTCATTCAGGAAAGAGACCAGCTGACACCCACTGAGTATAGTTAGTTAAGGCCTGGATGTGTTGCATGACATCCTCTAATCCTAGGGCAGGGACAAAGATAAAAGCCAAATGATCATACCAGTGAAACACGCTTCCAGACCATTGATGCTGTAGGCAGGGTAAGTTTGCAGGTTTGTCAATCCTTTTGACACTTGTGCCTTGTAACCATGCAAATCCCAGTGTCCATCTTCCTGTCCATCCAGGAGGTATCCAGGGCCAAAAATTGGTTCCACAGGACCAATGAATGCCATTGGAGGCTTCTCACCTAATTCCAAGGTGATTAAGCTAGTTTGTTGTAAACCAGTCTTCAGCCTGTAGTTATTTTGTGTATACATTGTTCGGGAGGTGTCCATCTGAAGTAGTTAGTAGAGTTAGGCTGATGAGAATAGGAATGACTCTTCTGTTCCCAACGTAAGGGGCCCTTTCTACCAAGATGTCCTATAGTGAGGGTTAACCATAGATAATCATGCTATATCTGAAAATAGCCATCTTGATATCTATGGTTGTTGGCCTTCAGGATAAGGACCCTTTTTTTATTTAATGGGGCTCCTAGCAGAGCCTTTAAAGAGGCTTTAGTGGCATTGTTACGAAGAATTTTATTATGTCCAAGATCATTAAAGAGTGTACTTTATGGGCCACTGAGCTACCTTGTAATGGTGGACTAAACTATGAACCACTGAACTCTTTTGTAACTCATCAGAATAGTCTTGTAGTTTATTCCAGTCATCTCCTTGGAGTGGAGATACCCACCAAGGAAGTCCAGATGTATTGGACAAGGGGAGCATCCCACATATCCAGCAAGGTGTTTGTTGTAACAACTCTGCATGTTCTTCTGCCCACCATAGAAAGGAATTACATTCTCCCTTATGTGGTAAAGTGATTAGTGAAAGGGCTAGAGTAACATCTTAGATTACTCTTAGACTGAAGGCTTTGCTTTTTCTTGAACAAGTATCTTAAGTCTTCTGTGGGTTCATAGGAGTATTCCAATTATGGTTGCTCACACTCAGTGACAGTCTGTGGTTCCCAGGACTTGAGGTGGGTGTGGTGGATCCAGAAGTCCAGGCTTGCTACCTTGACAGCTGATGGACTTGACAGGATCATGGTGTGTGGTCCTTCCTAGGTTGGTCCTAGGGAAGGAGATGATGCGGGAGGGAATTTTACCAGTATTGAGTCTCTGGGGTGGAATATGGGATTTCTCTTTTCTTTAGGCTGAGCTTCCATTAGCTGTTGAAGTGTCTGTTGGAATTTAGCCAGTGAGGTGACATCCTTCAGTAAGGCGTCTGTCTATTGAAGAGAAAATTGTTAGTGACAAAAAAAGCATCCATTTCAAACGGACTGAGGCTTTGAATTTGAGGTATATTTCTTATTTTAATAAGTGCTGTAGGTAGTGAGTGAGGCCACTGTAGGTGGGTCTCCTGAGCCATTTTGTGAAGGTGTCTCTTTAGGGTCTCATTCATTTTTTTCTGCCTTTCCTAATGATTGTGGCCTCCATGCACAATGAAGGTGATAGAGAATGCACAGTGCCTGAGAGGTACCTTGTGTGACTGTTACATTAAAAGAAAGGCCCATTATCACTCTGAAGCTCTTAGGAAGTCCAAATCTGGGGATGATTTCTCAGACTAAAACGTTTACCACCTCTTATGCCTTTTCTGTTCTACAAAGAAAGGGTTCAGCCTAGAGCAATCTGCCCCTGAGTCGTCATTCTCAGCCTAGAATGGGGAATTGCAAGAGCTAAGATTGCCTCCTCACCTGTGGAAGATCAGACCAGAAAAGAAACTGAAGCAAAACAGGCTTCATATTTCCTTTAGAGTACAGAAGAGGATCAGAGCCAGTCTGTGTCAATGAAACCTGTCCTCCAAGTCTTAAGAATGGCCAAAAATAAACAAAAAAGAATAATCTGTCTCCACCTCTCTACTACCATTGTTAAGAAATACTGTATTTGGATATTGTATTTAAAACTTGGCATGTTACTTGTCCATTGCTCTGAGTCTTATTCCAAGTAAAAACCAACATAGTATAGTAGCTTGTAAGGCCCTACAGTACCTGGCCCTCTTTGGCATCTGGGAATTGCACCTGTTTTTGTTGCAGCCATCCTGACCTTGCTGCCTTTGGACACTGGACAGTCTCCTGCTCACTCGGGCTCGTGCACTGGCAGTCCTCTGTGCCCAGAGTGCTCCCTGCACCTCACTTCTAAAGCCTTTGATTTTCTCTCTCTGCTCAGTGGGGTTCCCTAACCAGTGGCGCTCACCTCTCCTCTTCCTGGCATTTCCAACCCACATTCTATTTTCCCCTTCCCTTTTTTTTATAGCATTTACTGTTCTAAAATATGACATGTATTTATTTATATCATATGTAATACATATTTATATCATGTCTATTACATGTTGCAGTGACAGTCCTTTCTCTTCTACCACTGCAAGAATGTAAGCTATGAAAGGGAAGAGGGATGTTTATTTTTAAACTGCTGTGTCTCAAATACCTAAAGCTATGCAAACAGATGTGTACATATTGTTATAGATACTTCGTAATGTTTGTTGCATTAAGGATAACAATTTAGTTGTTATGTTTCCTGTAAAAGGACTTTGGGTAACTCTAATGTCTTTATACTTTTCTAAAGTTCCCATACTTGTGTGATACCTGGGCATTATTTTTATTATACAAATAGTAAAATATTTTAAAATTTGTCTTTTATTAGTGAAATTAAAGCATTTCCTTTTGTCTTTCAAATTGTCAAATGTTAAGAGATTTCTAGAGTATAAATGAATCTGTTCTTGTTAACATGTTTTACTGTTGATAGATGACAGATTAAACATATTTTTTCTTTTAAAGGACTACGATTTAATCTCCAAAGAACCAAAGCCTTTTGCATTTGATGGGAAAGTACATGGCCCCATTGTTGTTCCCACAGCTGGAGAGGAAGCATCTGGGAGTGTGAGCAGTGTCAGAACTAGGGTGGCACCGAAGGAGAAAGTACCTCCTGAAAGAGAGGCAGGGGAAGGGAAGCTGGCCTTGGCGGGTACAGCAGGAGAAGACATTAGAAAGAGCGACAGAGCATTGCAGCAGCAGCTGGAAGGGCAGAGCAGGACTGTTCCATCTACCTCTGGTGTAAACAGCGATATTGTGAAGGCCTTGGACCGAATCACATTGCAGAATATTCCCTCGCAGACTGCCTCAGGCTTGACTGCAGGAACGAAGAAGGACTGTGGTCTCCCACTGACTGTCTTTACATGCACCAAAGCATGTCCTCACATGGCTACTTGTGGGAATGTTCTGTTTGAGGGACGGACAGTGCAACTAGGGAAGCTCTGCTGTACTGGAGTTGAAACTGAAGATGATGAAGATACTGAATCCAATTCCTCAGTTGAACAAGCGTCAGTTGAAGTACCTGACGGACCAACACTTCATGACTCAGACCTCTATATTGAGATTGTGAAAAATACAAAGTCTGTCCCAGAGTATTCAGAGGTGGCCTATCCTGATTATTTTGGTCACATTCCGCCTCCATTTAAAGAGCCTATCTTAGAAAGGCCTTATGGTGTACAAAGGTGAGTTGCCGATTTCTTTATACTTCTAAGTAAGACCTTGCTAAAATATGAAGCATGTTTGTATAAAAGAATTACTTTGGGTATTGAGGAAGAAAATTTTTCTGAAAGTTACTATGTTTTTGTTACTTGTTTTGGAAATTTTGCATTGTTTTGAAATTTATTTTTTAAGCTCATTGATTATTCATATGAAGCCAGAATAATAAACGTGATCCAGGGAGACATTTAGAAATTTTGTATTTAGGTTAAATCTAAAAATATAAATGATTATTTAGTAATCTTTTCATAAGTAATATTACTTAGCAATATTTACTAGTAATTTATCATTTGAACTTGATGTAGGTATATGATTTAAAAATAGGCTATAAGTAAAGCAATAGGAAAGTATTGTTTTGTTTGAAATTTTAATTGAAAATATATAGTGTAAAACTTTGAGCCTCTTAAAAGCTATAACTACACTTATACTTAGGCTGAGTAATATTATACACTGCAAGTAGGATTAAATATTGCCAAATAGTGAATATTTGGCATATTAAAGCCATTTTTGGCGTATTTGAGCCTTTTTTGGTGATTATGGTTAAGATTTATGAAAATAGCTTTTTCTTCATCTTAGAAAACCATTTGTGTACTCTCACTGTGAGTATAGTGTTTAATGAAGCAGGAAGACATTGCTGTGGGTATTTTATTCTCCTTAGACTGTAAGTGTCTTTAAGACAACAACTACATCTTACTCATTTATTGGTAACAGCATTTTTACCTGGGAACTGAGTGTGGGTTTAGTGCCTGCAGTTGCTGCTCGATGCGCAGGTGTGGATCCCACCACTGACATCAGACTGGGAAAGATACGTGGGCATGGGCCTGGCTGTGGCCTCTGCTGAGCCTCAGCCTTGCCATCGAGTGGCAGCTGCAGGCCTCCAGGTGGGTTGTGTGGCCTACCAAGTGTGCAGCTGAAGCTTACCACAGGAGACCTCCATGTGGATGGGTTGCAGTTGTTCGGGGTGCAGGATACACCGAGTTAGAAACTTGAGCATGAGCCTGCATCCCTGGGAGAGAGAAGATTAGGAGGTGGGAACGGAAGTGACCCTCTGTACTGCAGCTTCCAGTGTGTCACCAGCTTCTTTGTGCTTTGAGTCCCTGATGTTCTTGGTCAATTAGGGTTAGAAGTCCTGGACCCCATAGCAAGTGCAGTCTTAGTACACAAGACACAGCAAGGGCACAGCGCACTCTGTAACTACCAACAGGGTGCTTTAAACTCCTTGTGTGTAGGACCAGCAAGTGGGAAGAAGGACATGATATAGTAGCAGTAGGGCTCCAGCCAGTCTGTTTTTTTGCCTCTTACACTACTCCCTTACCTAGTTTTAACTGTGAATGGACAGGTCAGGGCTACCCTAGAGGGAGAAGAGTATTAATTCCTAGTTGCCTAGACCCCTTAGGAATGAGAGTTGGGACCACTTAATTAGATAAGCTAGCAAGACTTGCCAAGGTGATAGCTGATGGTGAGGGGCATTTAGATAGATACATGAGGGACGGAGATGGAGACTTGTAGCCCTGAGAACAATTGTAGCAATGGTGATGAAGTCTGTCTGGCTGTTTTTCTTCCAAGTTTTCCCTAGGAGAGGCCCACCAGAACTGTGGAGAAACCGATCTTCAAATATGGGTAGAACAGTGGATCTGTGCAGTGCGTATGGCTGTAGTGGCTACAGCAGAGAGCTGTCTTTCTGTAACAGGATGTTGGGAGGTGTGTAGTTGCTCATAGCCTTTAGCTCCAACCTTTAGGATCTGTTACAGCACTTACACTGAGGCAGTGCCCTCTCCTCTCTGTGTTGATGGCAGCCAGTGGCTCAGCATGGTGGTGACAGTAGAGCTGAGTCATTCCTCACCAACACAAGCATCTGCTTGCAGGCATTGTCAGCTCTGGGCTCCCCTTCAGTGTGGCGAGTCTTCTCTTGAGCTGCGCTTGTCCTTTCCTAGCTGTCAGGCCTGGGTTTGTCTGATGGCTGTCCTCACCTCCCCTTTGTTCTCCCCTGTTCCTCTTTGGAGCTCTCTGTGTATCTTACTGTGTTTTGGGGACCCGAATGGACACCTAGAGTGAGTCAGGAGTCAGGTAGCAACTTGATCTCTCTCCTTGTCAGCTTCAGCTCTCAGGTCTGCCTCTCCATTGTCCAAAATGTTTTCTCCACCACAGTTCATACTTTCTGAATTTTAAATACTTCTTAAGCCCTGCAAGGAAATCTCTTTGTTTAAATTGCCTCAAACTGAAAGTATTTTCTTTTCTTACTAGTCTGAATGGTTGAGGTAAGATTAGAAGAAAACCTGTGGAATAGAAGCATAAGTATAATGCAAGCTCTGATTCCCAGCCTTGATTTTAATGACCAAAGATCCTTCTTATTTCCCCTTGTGGTCTCATGTTAGAAGAGCTTCCATCAGCCAACTCTCTTATTTAAGTGTGTTACTTATGTTAATCAGGGACATAAATTGTAAATTTTTTCTTATTGCAGATCAATGTATGATGGCCATGGATAGCTGTCATGCCCTCTGAATCTCTGAAGTGGCTGTAGCCGCGGGAGGCACTACTGCAGTCAGCTGTGGTTCCTCTGTCCGCTTCGAGCAGCTGTTCCTGTTGTTAGGCTCTGTAGGCATGCTTTGGTCTTTCAGAGAATATTGTTCTGCCTGGTCCCAAGTTTCACTTTTCTCTGCCCAGGACTGGGCCTGTCCTGATTAATGAGGAATTTAGAGGTTCAGAAGTCCTGTGACTCTTCTCCAACCCTCTCCATTCTCTTAGCATTTATGATGAGTTCTCTCATCTTGTTCCTGAACATTGGCCTCAGAATTGCCTTGCAAATCGAATTACAGTAGAGTCCCACCTGTTTTGGAATATTACATCATCTGTAGGACCTTTTCCTGAAGAAGCTTCCAGTTTTCACTCCTTGCGTACACAATGTAATATGCCCTATGTCTTATATTCAAACCTTTAAGATCTGTTTTTGATACTGTGAGGTAAATAGAATGATGAAAGAGCAAAAGATGGATGAGAATTGTGTTTTAAAGATATGTGCATTGGCATGCAAATTAAAGTGCAGTGGAGATGGGATAAGTGAGCCCAAATAGCGTACCCAGGAATTTGAAAATCTGTTACCTGTGTTCACTTCTGGAAGATTTGCAGGAAGAAAGATGGGCCTAGGCGGTAAGACACCTTTGAGGTTACTGAGGCATGGCTTGCCAGAGGTTTCAAAGGTTTGTGTTCCTACAGAGGTTTTTCCCTCTTGTTTTCAGGCCCTCAATGGCAATGTTATTTTGCTTTCTAATTTGTTGCTACAGAAATGAGTAGTAACCTCTGAAGCTGCCTAAACCCTTTCCTCTGAGCACCGTGGATGCTATGTGGTGGTGATGCTGACAGGCTGATTTGTGTAAGACTGTGTTAGAGTACCCGTCACAGTTCTACTTTGTGTCACGTTTATCTCAGTTTCTTTGGGCAGCATTTGGTGTGAGGCAGAAATGTCACCATATTTCAAACGGAGCTGTAGTCTTGAGAATAAAGATGGGGAATAAAGTTTCATATTTTAATGGAACAGTATGATCCCATTTATTATTTAGATGTGTAGGATTTTCCCCAGAAGGTTAATTATCATTTTAAAAGGTTTCATTTAAAAATGTTTGCAAATTGTGTAGTAAACAATAGTACTTTCATATGTGAAAGTTACTGCCTCCTTATTTTACATATCTGTCAAGTGTTTATCTGAATGTTGTGGCCAAGAGTGTAGTCTTTTGTTTTGTTTTATTTTGGGGGTTTTTTTTTGGAGCCAGGGTCTTGCTATGTAGTTTGGGCTGAACTTGGACTCACTCTGTAGTCCAGGCTGGCCTTGAACTTGTGGTGATCCTCCTGCCTCAGCCTCTGGAGTACTGGGATGACAGGTGTGCACTATCATCAGGTGAGTATAGTCTTGTTGTTCCAAAGTGTATAGCTCTTCTCTGCCTTCATTTATTTTTTTTTTTTTTACCCACATTGCTGAATATCGAGTATAAAACTTTTCAGAATTCTTTTTTCCCTCAAGTAACAGTTTGGGATTGGAAAAACAGAGGCATACAGCAAAAAAAGTGCTTGAGTGATGGGACAGACTCAGTGATGCTGTGAGGCTGTGTGGTATGGTGAGATACCTTGGCAGGGGGGGAGCTCTGAGAAAGAAGGTCATGCCTCTCACATTGACTCTGTCTGTGTGTTGATCAAGTGATTTGATTTGTCTAAGATGCTGATTTTCCCAACTGAAAGTAGAATTTCTAGATTTGTATTAATACCATTAGTAACTAATATGAAAGAGAAAATAGCAGTGTGTCACATACAGTATAACTATATTTTACTTCATAATTCCCCCATGATTCTGATTTTAAAATGCACTTCTTTTCTGTCATGAGAAAGTTTGATAGTTACTCATTTAGAATGGGACTTGGGAAATTGTGACCCAGGTGCCAAATCCAGATCACCACCTGTTCATGTTTAGCCTATGAGCTAACAGTGGGTTTGTATGTTAAAATCTTTAAATAGTTCAAAGAAAAGTACTACTTTGTAGTGTTTAATTACACAAAATTCATATCTGTCTGTACAAATAGAGCTTTATTGGAACACAGCAATGCCTGTTTTTAAAATGTATTCCTTGTGGCTGTTTTTGGGCTACAGTGGCAGAGTTAAGTGGTTCTAACAGAAACGAAATGGCCTGTGAAGCCTGAGGTATTTACTGTCTGGCCCAAGAGAGGAATAGTTTGTTGACCATTGCAGCTAGGTAGCTTGAAGGCTTGATTGTTCTATATTTGTAATAAAATACCAGAGATGGCCCAGGTAATTGGTGTTTCTAAAGCACTAAGATATGTTTATCTTTTGAAATACATCAAGAATATTTTTTTCTTTTGGTTCTGGGAATCGAAACCAGGACCTCACGCATCCTGGGCAAGAACTCTCCCACTACGCTATACACCTGGCTCACAGTGAGGATGCTCTTTCTAGTTTGTTTAATCTTACCTGCCCAGTCTTCTGGAACGTATTTTTTGAGCAGATAATGAATATTTTATGATTTTATTTTTTGCCAACTATACTGAATTGCTATCTTAATGGAATGCCAAAGTAAATGAACAATGTAAAAATTGAGGACTTACTGCTTTATCATTTTTAGAAAAAGGAAATATTAGACTCCTTTAAGTTACTCAGGAAAGATATTGTTAATGTTGTTTTAAATTTCTCTTTTACGGTTATCTTTTCTGTATGCAATCAATCTGTTTTAACCACAGAAAGTTTAGTACAAGAAGAATAAAACTTCATTTAAAACTTCTGCCTCATTTGGAAAGGAAAAAGCCTATTGCAATATTCTTATCCCCCTGGAGGTAAAACACTAACCTTTAAAATTTTTTTGTTGTAATCACATATTGATGATTATTCAAATACATATTGTGGTATAAATTGAATTTAAAAATTAAAATAAAATGTATCTCATTTTAAAATATGCTTAGCATTTTCGTACATTTTTCCTGTTTTCATATTCTATAAAATTAGAATTTGAGAAAATGAATGAAGAAAGGCTACTTTTTATCTCCTCCAAAGATAACCACTATTAGCATTTTATTTTCTTTTTATTATCTTTTCTTATGTCTGTGAAAAAAGCTGGCTGTTAAAACCTAGAAGTTTGGTAGCACATTCTGTTGAAGAGACTGTAGAAAAATAGGCTGTCTCTTACATTAAGGATGACATTCAGTTGATAGTCTCTGTTGTGGAGTGCAGTCTGCTAGAGTCTGTCAAAATTCATACTACATATTTCCTTGACCCATTAACCCCACATTTGGAAATTTGTAAAATATATTTATTTTATAAATCACATGTGTATATGCATGTGTACGTGTAACCATAATTTCCATATGTATGAAATGATGCTCATAGTTTCTTATTGCAGCATTGTTTTAAGATTGGAAATAAATTCTCAGCAATCAAAGACAAGTTAAATTATAGCATGTCTGTTTTATGACTGACATGTAATGACTGAGAAACAAAGCTCTATGCACTAAGAGCTGTAAGATGCATTATTAGATGAAATAAACAAGGTTCTTGTTTTAGATTGCTTGTTTTCACTAGTGATCTAAATTAGTGTTTTCATAAAATCTGGAAGGAAAGTAATAAAAGTAGTTACTGATTAGATGAAGGGAGAATGCGGATTGTGTTGTAAGGACAACTTGTCCTTTTATGTTTGTATTTCATCTGTGATTTTTTTTTTTTTTTACAGTGTCAGTATATTACTTGTTCAGAAATCTTAAACAGTAGGTGAAGAATTATGGAAAAATAATATAGAGAGGGGGAAAAACCTTGGATTTCTTTACATTTAGAATAGCTTAGAGGAAACACAAGCACTTTTGGAATTGAGCAGTAGTAGAAGTATTAGAATGAGGAGAACAACAAATGACATTTAGTGAATATTTTTATGGCAGCCACAGAATTAAGTAGTAAGCATTTTATATGCTGTGCATATAGGGATATAAAGTGCCATTTAATATAAATAGTTCTCTGTGTGAGGAACTATATTTTTATAGAAGAACATGTTGAAGCTCAGGATTGGTGACTCATTTATGCAGACTACTTGGCAGAGCTGAGAGTCAAACACTACTCTAGATCGTGAACCTGTGGTCTGTCTTACATATATTCATATCATATATGTAACTGTAGTGATGACACACATATGTGCTTAAACCACATTATCTGTAGAGAAGAATATCTTGGATCTTATTTATAGACAATATGAAAAATAATAGATCCTCAGAGAACACTGTGTTAAGTAACATAACAAACATCTTTTCCTATAATATCCTATCCTATGACATTCAGTTGATAGTCTCTGTTGTGGAGTGAACTTCATAAAAATGAAGTTCACTAAATTGTAGCATTGCTTTGTGGTTGACAGTCTAACAAGTTACAGTTTTCTGGTGATCATGTATCATTTGATCATTTGACTAGGGACTGAACTTTTCAAGCTGTCCTGCGTATTCTTCTGAAAACATGGAATGTTAGTAAGGCTGAGGTTATAGACCTTGAGAGTGCTTGGAAATATCTGTTGTATTGTTTGGTCTGGAAAGCCATATATTTTAATTGGTAAGTGAATTAAAGGAAAGACTGATACTCTTTTATGAAAGTTACTATCTTAGTCATGTTCCTTGTCCTTGGGACAGAAATACCAGATACCCACAATTTAAAGGAGGAGAGATTTATTTTCAGTTCACTTTTCAATCCATAGTTGGCTGGTTCCAAGGCAGGCTGGCATGACAGAGGGGCATAGCTGAGGAGAGCTGCTCACAGTTTGGTAGACAGAAAGCAGAGAGATCAAGGGAGGAACTGGGGTGGGAGGTAAAACCCATCCAGGTGACGCTTCCATGACCTGCCTCTTTGGACCAGACCCTACCTCCTAAGAGCAAGGCAAGTGTACGCCCCTATAATCCAGTCACCTTCCACAACCCCACCTATGATTGTATGAGGTTTTAAGGGGACATCTAGATATAAACCATAACACCTACACAAAAGCATATCTGAGTAAAAGACTTTTTGTAATTTGTTAATAGGGTGGGACAGAAATTCCCTTAAATATTAGTTTCAGATCAAATCTAAATGGCAGTTATGACCCCCTAAATACAGTGTTAGGGGGTTGAAGAATAGTGGCCTGTAGTCCACACCCAGCTTTCACATGATTTGGCAAAATAAACTTTGGGAGAGTCCATGGAGAAGCCCGAGTTTCTGGTGTGCTTTGAAAAATTCAGGCGTGACAGTTTTCACCTGTTTCCTACTTGGCAGCAGTCAGCTTTTAGACCAAACTTGTGTTCCTCAGTTTCCCCAGGCCAGGCAGTCAGCTCTTTCTCAGTTCTGTCACCTGCTGGGATCCTGCAGGGCCTATGCTTTTTGACTCTTTGTAGATATGGATATAGAACTGGGCTATTATTATAGGCAGCCTATTAATACCATTTCCAGAGCAAAAATCCAAACTTTTGTAAGTATTAATTTTGGCACCTCGATGGGATTTATGTACACACTATTAGTTAAATCAATGGGTGTATTTAGTCATTCACTGATATTTGAACATTAAATGTTTTTGTGTGATATATTTGAATATATATATGTACATATGTAAGTATGTGTAGGACTTTTACTGTTGAAGTTATAATTAGTATAAATTCTAAATTTACTTATTGCTATTGTTGATGGTTTTTAAAGAAGCTTATTTCTTTAGAAAAAACTTGCCATTTTAAAGTTATAGTCAACCTAAATCAAGAATTTGTGGCTTAATCCTTGCATTGTGTCTTTTTTATCCCTGATAAACTGGTTTGTCAGTACTTAATTTAAAAAGTAAACTTAAAAGTAAATTATGCTTAACTATGTACTAGGTTCAGAATTTTTAGCATTATACTTTTATTTTTAATGCCCTTTTTATATGTTTAACAACCACACCTTTTAATATTTTCCTTAACTGTTTTATTCTTTAGTTAGAATAGATTCTTAGCATATTGAGAGTTTACCGTTTTTCTGTAATGTTATTAATATCCTTTAATCCCAGAAGAATGACTTGGTGCAGCAGACTTCTTTTAGGTTTCTCTAAAGTTAAGGAGATTTTCAGTATTTAAAATATTCTTGAGATTTTATTATAAGCATTTTGGCAAACTTTTTTACTCTGCTATCAATAAGTTACAGTTCTAGCCTGTATTGCCTATCTTTTGCTGAAATTAACATATTTAAACTTTAATTTTAAATTAACTTCTTCCATAAAGAAAGTATACTATGAGAAATAACTAAGTACATAGTAACACTAGCAGAATGTCATGGCTATTCTACCAGTGATTCCTAGTATCTGGCCTCAGGATCCAAGGCTGTTCTCTTTCAGCTACAGTTTGGTGTTACCTGTGGTTGTTGTCTTACTCAGCTTAAATGTTGAGTCCTGTGAGTAGCTGAGTGTTGTAAGATATTGGGAGGGATTTTAAGGTTTTTCCAATTAGTGTACATTTTGTTGGACTGATTGCAGGAGAACATAAGGTGCAAATATTCCCTCCTTTCCCACCACAGAAGAGGGGGATTCTATAGAAGTGTGAGCCAACTAACCAACAGTGGCAGTTTTGCCAAATTCCCAGCTATATAGTTTTAAAATATATCCTTATGTTATCTCTGACTTTTCAGATCTTTATCACTTCTAATAATGCCAGTACTATACATACAAAGTATTTGTCTAACAGCAAACCAAGTAAAAATCCATACCTTTTCTATGTGGAAAGGTCTAAAGACATTTTAGATTTTCTCCCTCTCCCTGACTTCTTTTTTCCCTTCCTTCCTTTGTTCCTCCTATTAAACAATGGTTGTATTCTACATGGTTATGTTTTAGAACTCAGATTTTGATATTTATTTTTATCTACTTTGTTATGAACTGATACTTTTTTATACATAAAACGTAGAGAAATGATCTTTTTAAAGAATTTTTTTTATCATTTTTACTTTTTCATTCCAAATTTATATTGGAGAAAGTTGTTTGCTAATAACATTTAATAATTAATTTAGTCAAATTTTTCTTATGATTTCAGGACAAAAATTGCCCAAGATATTGAGAGGCTAATATATCAGAGTGACATCATAGATCGAGTGGTATATGACTTAGATAACCCAAAGTAAGTCTGATTTTTAATAAACATTTTATTTTAAAGTAAAATTACAGTGTTACATATTTATAAAAAGATGGAAAAATTATAGTTAAGTTTCACATACTTTTACCTTACTATGTTTTCATCCTTTGACAGGGAAATACAATGGAAAATCATGTTTGTTTATTTAAATTGAATATATCACAAATTTTTCTTTGTTTTTAGGTGAATTTTAATGATTATTATGGCTTCTGTCTAGATGTCTACCCAAAGCCTCATACAGTCATAAGTGGGGCTTTTTCAAAGGTGGCTGAACTAGAATGTTTGATTGATTCATGGTACAATGCTAAGATTAAGGGTACTAGGATTAAGGGTGTGTAATTACTAAATTAGTTTACTCATTGGTTTGGCACTGCCCTAATCCCAGCAGCCTGGGTACAATATAAGAGACAGAAAGAGTCTTGTCTTTCCCCTTGCTTGCTTGCTTTTGCTAATTTCTGCTTGCCATGAACTGGTTCTATTCTGTGATACCTCTCTGCCTTGGAGCCAGCTGATTGTGGACTAAAACCTCTACAAACTGTGAGATAAAAAAACCTTTCCTCCTTTAAGCTATGCATGTTGGATATTTTTTCTCAGCAGTGAGAGAAAAGTAACCAAAACAGATTTTGGTACCAGAGAAATGAGGTTGTTGCTGTGACTAAACCTGACCAGGTGGTTTAGGAGCCTTTGGGAATGGCTTGTGAGAAAAGGAAGGGGTAGAAAAAGTTTGGAGATGCTGGCTGAAAAAGTAGGGCTGAACTTAATGGGATGTTCTGGTCAGAGCTCAGAAAACCAGAAGATGGATAGAAATGATGCCAATAAAAACCAGGCTCAGGAGGTTTCTACTGGGAAGAAGGGACTGAATTGCCTGTGGACTCCAGAACATGTGTATTATGGCTTGGCAGAAAGTTTGCATTTTGCTCATGTCCAGAGACTTTGCCTGAGATTGAGATTAAGGGCAGCAGACTAATTAATTTTGCAGAGGAAATTTCAAGGCAGTCTAATGTTCAGATGGTGGTGTGGCTATTATTAGGGATTTTTAGCCAGATTAATGTTGAGAATCAAGAGCAAAAAGCTCAGCATAGTGATTCAAAATATTGTGAGTTTGGCCAGAAGGGAAATGCCAGTAAAGTTGCGGCCTGCAGAGAGGAAACAGAGGAAAAATAGGTTGCTGAAAAGACTACCAAGGAAAAGCCAAGTGTTTTAGAAGACAACAGGAAAAATGGCCTGAGGACATTACAAGAACCAACAGGATTCCAGCCCTTGCAGCCTCACAGTTGCAAAGGTGAAAGAATTTGCTTTGAGATCAGAGCCCCAGAGCACCACCAGAATGGCAGTGGCCTAGAAAATATGTTCCTCCAAATTGGATTCAGACGGCCCAGTGATCCAGGCACTCAACTCCTACAGCCATGAGAAACAGAAACCTGGCTACTTTTCCTGCTGGCAGCAGACCTTGACATCATCCATGTGGTGCTGGTTTTGGATGCATGCAGAATGCAAGAGTTGTGGGGTCAGGAAGGCTTCCATCCAGAGTTTAGAAGAAGGCCTGATAAGCCAGGCAGTGTGTGCATGCCCCTGAGAGGGCAGTGTGTAAAGCTGTGAGTGTGCAGCTGTAGCTGCATTAGAGATCCAGAAGTTTGGAGAAGCCAGGAACTTGGATCATCAGAGGAAAACTACAAGGAGGGAGTAGATCCAGCCCCAGAGAGAAGCCATGGGAGGTACAACCACTTGCAGTGCCATAGAGGTAGAGCCATCCAAGCCCTTTGGAGTTCCTATAATGCCACCGATCACTTCGGATGCTGGATGTGGAGCTATAGGACTTAATGTTTGCCCTGCTGGATTTTGGACTTGCTTTGGTCCCATTCCTTTGTATCCCCCTTTTTATATCTTTTGGAATGGTAGTGTTTATCTTGTGTCATTGTATGTTGAAGTATTTAACTTTATTTTCATCTGTATAGGGGCTCACAGCTAAGAGTTTGCCTTAAATCTCAGAGGAGTCTTTCGACTTGGACTTTTCAGCAATGCTGAAACTGTTACGGCTTTGACAACTGTTGGAAATGGATTGAATGCTGTTTGCATAAAGGGATGTGCATGAGTCTTTTGGAGGCCAGGGATAGAATGTTACGGTTTATGTCTAGATGTACCTGGAAAGTCTAATGCAATCACAGATGGGGCTTTTTCAGAGCTGGCTGAATCTACAGTATTTGATTGATTCATGGTGCAATGCTAGGATTAAGGGTGTGTAATTACTAAATCAGTCCACTGGTTGGTTTGGCACTGCCCTGATCCCAGTACCTGGATACAATATGAGGGACAGAAGGAGTCTTGTCTTTCCTCTTGCTTGCTTGCTTTTGCTGGCTTCTGCTTGCTGTGAACTGTTTCTGTTGTGTGATGCCCCTCTGGCAAGCTACCCTGCCTTGTAGCCAGCTGATTGTGGACTAAAACCTCTATAAACTGTGAGCTAAATAAACCTTTCCTCCCTTAACTTGTGAGTGTTGGATGTTTTGTCTCAGTAAGACTATGACTATAAATTAATGCTGAACTTCTAAAAAACTGATAATACCTCCATTTAAAAGAGTTGGAGATTGCACATGAAATACTGACCTATCTTGAAAGGCTGAGCCTTCATTTTCTGAGGACAAATAATCTCCCCTGAGAAGGACCTGGTTCCCCACACTTATTCCCTCTTATCTTTGCTACTTGAAATCTGTTTGTCACTAAATTACCTGCCTGAACTTTGAAGCTGCTCATGAAACTTTGCACATTAATCACTTAGCATTAATCAATTTTAGGATTTAAATATGAGTAAGTAAAAATTATAAATAATGTGACTATTGTTTAGTCATTTACCCCCTCACATGAGAAAATTCAGTTTACCCTCAGTGCATTTTTCTCTTCTCTCAACATAAAATTTCACATTTTACCAATCATATTTGGAGGAAATAAACAGTTTTAAAAAGGTTCGGTAGTTACATACAAGTAAAAGCTGTGTCGAAACTAATGACTGAATTTAAAATAATATTCTGGGATGAGAGGATGGCTCAGTGGGCCTAGCATGTGCAAAGCCCTGGGTTCAATCCCAGCATTGCAAAGAAAAAAATAAATTTTTGAGGAAATCTACTTCATTATTAAAGAATCTCTCAGTTATTTCATTGTTTTTAATTCTGGGTCAGATAAATGAGCAAATGTGTTACAGAACAGAAACTCAAGAACCCTGAGTGTTGTGTACTATACTGTTTCTACCTGAAATGAATTTAAAGACAATCATTGAGCTTCTTGGACTCTAATTTTCTCCTATTAGAATGTAATCTTCAAAACAGGAATAACTTTTATTACAGTAGAAGAACGAGTAGATGCATCTAGCAGATGCTCAGTAAATACTAGTTAAATAATAAACATGTAAAATGAGTATAATGTTACTTTTTTCATGCTAATTAAATAACAATGTAGCTCTCTTCATTTACCTATAGCTGTGTGGTTAATTAGAATTATTGTTATTTATTAGAGACTATGTGCAGTTCTTAAAAAGAGACTTTTCCTATATGATAATCAGTGTTTTAGAAGTGATATTTGTTCATTGAGGCAAAAGTTCTTACATTAATATAGATGTGAAAACTTAAATTTTAATGTTCTGTAAATGTTAGACCAAGTTTCTAGTTGCTTTTTCTGTGTTTTAAAAATAATGAGTTGATGTGAGAATGATACATTTTTATCTGTAATATAGTTTTTTCACTCGTTTGTTTAAATACAATGTATTTTAATGTACTTAATTTAAAATACTTACTTAGTTACACCATTCCAGAAGAAGGAGATATTTTGAAGTTTAACTCCAAATTTGAATCTGGGAATCTGCGCAAAGTAATTCAAATTAGAAAGTAAGTCACTTAAAATGTTCTCATTTTGTATATGCACAAGTGTTTTCTTAATTTTCATCAGATATCTTTATTTTCCACTTTCAGAAATGAATATGATCTTATTCTTAACTCCGATATAAACAGCAATCATTATCATCAGTGGTTTTACTTTGAAGTCAGTGGAATGCGGCCAGGTGTGGCTTACAGGTTTAACATCATTAACTGTGAAAAGTCCAACAGTCAGTTTAATTATGGTAAGACAGTTTTCTTTCCTAATTGAGAGAGTATGCAGGAATCTTAACTGTAGGACAAAAATTTTGCCGAGAGAACTTTACCAATTAAAAAAAATTTCACTGTACTTTTTTTATTCTTAAAATTCAAATACTTATGCAAAATTTAAATAGGTTAAGTTTTGGTTTGTTGGCAGAGTTACTCTTCTGTAGGCTAGCCCTTTAAATAAAATGTAATGGTTAATCTTATCCATAGTGAATACAATTATAGATTACATATGCTCTAGTGGCTCTCAGATTGATTTTTTTTCATTAGTTTGTTCACATGATATGTTATACTGATTGATTTTAGAATATTGAGTCTCTGGAATAAACTTCAGGGTTGTCATACATGATTGCTAATATTTGGTAAGTTTTGCCTTTTGGGCCTGGGTTGTAGTTGTGGTGGAAAACTTAGCTAGGTTGCCCTAAGCCCTAGGTTTGATCCCTAGAACTACAAAAACAAAACCAAAAAAAAGCTTGTTTTTCAGGAGAGATGTTGGTCTGTAGAATCCCCTTCCTTCCCTCCCCTCCTTCCTTTTTGGTGTCATGATGATAATACTGACCTAGTAAAAAGTGTTCCCTCTCTTTATTTTCTGAAATTCTTTGTGTAGATTTGGTGTTATTTCTTAAAATGCTTGGTAACATTCTCTAGTGAAATCATGTGAGCCTAGACTTAAAATTAAACTATTACTATGTTAATGGTAAAATGTGAAATTTCTCCTTTGTCTTTTAAAATGGAAAATCAATTTAGTAGTACTAGGGTATGCAGATTACCTATTTTAGTTTGAATGAGTTGTAGTTTGTGCTTTTTAAGAATTCATTTATTTATAAATTGTGAATAAGTTATTTGTAGTATTCTTTTATTGCTGTTCTGATGTCTACAGTGTGTGTAGTGACAGTCCTTATTTCGTTCAGGCTATTAATAGTTTGTGTCTTTTCATTCTTTGTGTCAGTCTAGCTGGAGTTGTATCAATTTAACATTTTCAAAGAAGCAACTTTTTGTTGCATTATAATCTGTACTGCTTTCCTCAGGATACTATTTTTAAAAAGTACCATTATTGTACCAGGAAAAATCTTAAGTACATAACTTCATTTAAGGCTTTTGTATTTAGTAGTTTAGTAAGTACAAAATGGAATGTTATTTGGCATCCGTCTTTATAGTCAAACATATCTGTGGAAGACAGTATAATTGTATAAACTTAATATCAGCACTTTAACATTGAGATATCACATTTCAAGTTATTCCATTAACAACAAATTGCTGTGTTAAATATTTTTCTGTCACATAAAGAAAAAACTTACATTGGAGATTGAGGAGAAAATGTATGACAAGTTGTGTGGAATGTATAACAAGCTTTTAAGAACAGAGGCATGAAATGGTATATCATCTGCTTCAAGTAATTTTTGTAAGTTGTTAGTAGCGTGGTGTTAATAGTATAATGATGCTTTTTAAGGGGGCATTTCTGAAAATTAAAGCTTTTAAGATCTGAAGAGGTTGTTCCCAGTTGTCATTGTTTATGTGGAACACAGGAAATAGTATACTCTAGAATTACTTCACATGAATGGGATAAAAGCTTTAGTCAGAGTCATTTATTTGATGTAGTAACTTTAGGAAGATTAGGTAGCAGAACATCTGGCTTAGTATAAACAATTTTTAAAGATTTTTAAATGTTTAGTTATTTAATTTTTAAATGATTTATTCTTTTAAATATGTATAGTATAAAGTATCAATACTTATTGATTTACGTGGAGTGATAGGAATATACCTTTTTTTGTGATTTTAGTATATAACTACTAATGATTGAATGTGGTATTTCTTAGAAACATTTGTTTGTTGAACTTAAGCCTTCATATAACTTCAAAAATTACCTTAATTGAAATTCACTGAAAATATTAACAAAATAAGTAAGGATAGCTAGTGTTTTCCTTAATTAGTTCATAATTGTATGGAACATAGTATTTTCACTAGAGAAAAGAGTGAAGTAAATATAATATTATTTGTATTTTGGGTTCTTCTTAATAGGAAGGTATTAAGACATTTGGGGTTGATGTAATAATAATTATACATGCATTTTATGAAGTATATTCACTTTAAAAATAGTACTCATACCATTTTAAACTTACTGAAAATTTTAAAATTTTAAATTAAAAGTATGCATTTGGAGCTATACTTCTCTATTTAAAAAATCCTGTATTTCCATGTGGTAGATAAAATAATCTCTTCCTTTAGTGTCATTTGAAATTTAAAAATAAATAGAATTTTGTAACTAAGATGAACTTGAATCAATAGGACAGATGGCTGCTATATTTTAAAATTTCTTCTTCTCCTTCTTTTTCTTCTTTGGATAGTCTTGTATGTATGTTGCACATCCCAAACTTGCTTTGTAGAGAACTTGGAAAACAGAATGGTGTTAAGAACAAATTAAAACCACTGAAATAAAAGAAAAGAAAACCATCATCCAGAGATAATGAATTTAACATTTTTTGTTTCATACCATCCTTTTTTATAATGTTGTATATGACTTATATATACACAGCTATAAAATACAGCTGGTAACTATGCCATTTGATATTCTATATTTTAATTACACATTATGTCAACATTTTTTTCTGGTCATTAAATATTCCTCTGAAACAGTGGACATGCTATGAAGGCGCTATAACTTGTTTATCAACGTCTTTTTTTCTCCTACATTTGAATAGTTTCTAATCACTTTCTCTTTTAAATATTGCTGACATGAATATTACTATTCATAAATATGTGTGCAATTATTTAGTTACAGATTTATAGATGTGGAATATATTTGTAGACAAACTATAAAAGCAGTTTTTTCTGATAATAAAATTGTGGATCTTTAATGTGGGCAATTTGGCAAATGAAAGAGTTTAGGAAAGAACTTTTAGGAAGAAAAAGGAAAGACATCTAAAACATCCTTTACACTTTAACATTTACTATCAGTAAGCTTATTTATATTCATAGGATTTTAAAATTAAATTTTTTTATGGATTTGGGATTAAGTATGAAAATTCATTTATAATAATGTATTTTTTACCCCACAATAAATCATGAAAAATTTCCTCACACCATTAAATATTATTCAACAACATCGTTAGTAATCTCTGTAGTATTTTATTCAAGTACAGTAAAATTGCTTAAGTGAGAAAAGATCGGTAAAGATACCTTTTCAACATCAAAATTATAAGCTAAGTTTTTTGTTAATTTCATACTGATTTTCATGTGTGCTTCTGATTATTGCTTTGCCATGAAATCCTCGAAGTAGGATGTTTTGAATATGTGTTGCTGCAGACTAGGGAAAATGTGTGGTACAGTGCTGGTAGAAATGTTCAGCCTTTTTGAAATGCATTTGATAGTATGTTTTTTTTTGTTTGTTTGTTTTTTCCAGTACCAGGAATCGAACTCACGACCTCGTGCTTGCCAGGCAGGCACTGTGCCGCTGAGCTAAATCCCCAGCCCCGCATTTGATAGTATGCCTTCCCTGTGTGTGTTTGACTTTATTCATTTGAATTTATTTTGGTATTTTCTGTGAACTGGAATTTAGCTTAATCCTATTCTTAGCACGTAAGTGGCTGTGGCTCAACTTATTCTTTTACCAAAGAGTTTTAAAGTGTTAGTGAGGAATATATTGAGATATTTGTCAAACAGTTCACATTTATAATTCATTTGCAACTGTGTATCTCACCTACTTCAAAGGAAATATGAGAAACATCTTGGAAAGCATCATACATATGCTGCTTTCTTTTGGCTGTTGGTCAGAAAATGGTCAGCTTTGTTTAGAAATTGGTTGATAAGTTAATGTTTATTTGTTTGATCAGTTTTGCTTGCCTATATCTGGTATTCTGAACAACTACTTTGTTTTTTTTTTTTTTTGTACCAGTACCTTGTGCTTGCCAGGGAGGTGCTTGTGCCACTGAGCTATATCCCTGACTGAACAGCTACTTTGAAGATAACAATATGCAATATAACAACCATCGTTAATTTCCTAACATCTTGTTTTAAAATTCTGTATGGTTTTGTTTTTTATTTTTTTTTCTTTTTAAAATTAATAAAAAGAAATTAGTTGATAAGTTAACCCCATCATTTCTTCATAATTCCTCACTTTTTAAATTATTCTGACCTTTTAGTCATGTTGTATATCTCCTTTGGTCTGAAAATACCATAGTTCTCATATGCTGTGGCTCTAACTATACACTAGCATTTGTTTGTGTTGCTCTAGTACTCCTTTAAAATACATTTTAACTTTCTAATATAGTTTAACATTCTGTATTTTTTCAGAGCAATTTAAAAACTTTATATTTATTTATTTATTTTTTGTGTCTTCTGTTTTACTAATATTTCTGTTTCTTATTAGTACATGTTTGGAGTACATAATGTTTACATTTATCATGGGGGAGCTGGTACATGGACATAGCACATCTTAATTCTTTTTTTGTCCTGTATCTCTTCCATCCCTCCTTGCTCCTTCCATCTTTTGATCCCCTTACCATGTGGAAAAGCTCCATTTCCATGTTTTCCTTTCAGTTCTTTAAAAAAACTCTTTCCTTCCCTTCTACTACCTGCCTTTGTCTTTTGTGCCCTTCCCATTTGAAGAAAATCTTTCTTCTTATTACTGTGTCTTTCACTTTGCTTGTTATTTATATTTTTGGGTTTTCATAGAAGAGAAAAATGTGACATTTAAGCTTGTGTGTCTGATTTATTTCACTCAATGTAGTCTCAAGTTGCATCCATTTACCTACAAATGCTTCAAGTTTATCTTTCTTTGTGGCAGAGTGGTACTCCAGTATGTATAAATACTGTATTTTCTTTATCCATTCATCTGTTTATGGTCATGCCATTTCTAAGATTTAGATATTATAAATAGTGGGGCTATAAACATGAGTATGCCTGTATCACTGTAATATGATGACTTTTAACTTTTGCAGGAAGATACCTGGAAAGGGAATAGCTGAGTTGAGTGGAATTT